AAGGGCAAACACCCCCCACACACACTAACTGCCCTGTGTCAGAGGCATGCAGGAAGGTGCCAAGAGGAGGGCAGGGCCTGTAGCTGATAAGAGTGATATGAACAGAGGTGATGAGAAGCAGCCGGACAACGTCAGTCCTCTACAAAATGCTTAATCTACATTTAGGCATATGCACAAGTACATTCCTTCCTGCTTCGGTGTAGTTAAAAGCTTGGAGCCTAAAAAAAGGTTATACATAAATAAAAGATGCCCTATCCTGTCATGCTACCCTGCAGACTCCGAAAGCACACCCACAAATTAGCCACAAATGGGTGCACTTGGTCTAATATGCTTACATTATTATTATTTCATTTTTATGATTTAGTGTTGGGACACCGATGGAGCTGTGATCTCCTTGCGAATGGCTCACCCTTACTCTGCTTCCAAGTTATATCGGCAAACTGCATCAAAAGTTACTTTCCAAAACCACATACTGCCAAGATTCAATCTGTTGTCACAATATGTGGTGGTTATCTAGGCCACGGCACTCCCAGGAAAAAAAAGAGAAGAAGAAAAAGACAAAGTAACGGAAGATGAAAACAAATGTATGCAGGCTGATAACAATAAAGTATAAAACAAATTCAAGCCCAGTCAGCCAGTGACGCTTTCACTGGGAATTGGAGCGCAGCCTTCATTACAACATATTGATCACTGCAAACAAAGACCCTGGATTTATTGATCCACTTCCAGAAAAAAAAGGAGAAAAAAGGGGTGGGGGTAGGGCCATGGACTGCCTCTTATGAACAAACTTAAAATGAAACTGCAGCCTTAGCATGAAGAAATGAAGGAGAGCTGGGGTTTGAACCCCAACTAAAGGAGAAGGGTGGTCATGGGGTTGCTCTTGATGTCCCACGATGACAAAAAGAATATGTAAAAATGTGCAAGCACATATACTATTAAAAAGGAAGACTTTCACAGTGTGTCATATTGCGCTTCATTCTTCTCATCTGCTGCATGATGGCTCCTCTGCTCTTATGGATCTCATCTCAAGCAGGGGATTTGAATATTAAGAAAGTCATGTTTGACTACTGAATTATTCAGCGCTGGCACAGACATCAGTGCAGACATCGTCTACCTCAAACACAGAGATCTCCACAGCAGACACTCTTTTTCTGACACTGTGGGCTTCCGCAAATACTATTTTTCAAACTATTTCCCAGAGTTACCGCTGATTATATCAATAAACCAAAGACATAAAACTGTACGTCTGTTCCAGGGATAATCCCTCACAGTCTGTGGTTCGTACCACAAAGGCCATAATGGTTATTTACCGTCAATTATCTTGTTGGAAGAAAATTATGAAGAAACTTACTCTGCAGACTATCTAAAAATCTGGGTTTGTGAAATTTGGCTTCCCCAAAGTGCATGATGAATGATTCTGTAGGTCAGAACAACATGAGGTATGGGTGCCATGCATTTGTGGCCTCCCTGGTGAGGGGTCAGGACCTCTTTGGCTGGTCTTCCATTCATCTACCTCACAAGGAAAACCCCCACTGGTCTAGTTTCCAATCTGAGAGCAGGAAAAGAGGTTGAGTACGCTTCTGAGCACTTGGCCTGGTTTACAGGAGAGGGTCGAGCAGGGTCACGTCTCACCAAACATTGGGGCCCCTTAAACACATATGAGTGGCCCCAGCTGTACCCAGGGCCATCAGAATCTTAACAGAGCGCAGAGAACCGGATCAGCAAAAAAACGGGTTCAGCAAAGTTTTGGATTTCAAGAACATGTTTTTCTTGTCAAGGGGAGAAATTTGGTTTGTTTAAAATGTTTGTCTTAAGCAAGCACAGGAAAGAGAAGTAATTATACCTAATGAAAGATTAACAGAAAAGTCTAAAGATTTAGCCTCAGTGAGCTTTTGAGTTCCTGTTCAATCGCATTATTAATCTGGTCAACTGTAAATCCCTCCCCCCCAACGCTTCTATGGAGCCAACGCACTAGACCCTCTTGACACACTCGCATTCAAAGCACTTGAGCGAAGGCTAAAGCAGACTATAAACATGCATCTCTTTCATCAGCAGAGCTCACGTAATTGTCGGGAGAAGTAAAACACAGGGAGGACGGGTGGAAGAAAGAAAAAATGAAAGCACAATAGATGGTTAGGGGGAGGGATGGAAGAACAGCAGCATGAGAGGGTGTATTAAGCCCAATTAGGCTTTTGGGCTTTTCATTAACCCAGTTTTTAGGGAGGGAAACCTCTGCTGAATAATGCTCTGACTGACTCACTTTGCAACCCTGCTTTAAAGGCCTCATCTGGAGGACAAGAACTGCACAATGTGTGTCAGCTCTCTAAAGCCACCAGAATTCCATTAGACACCCAGGGGCAAACCACCCGCAGCTGCAGCCCACCTGAAATTAAATTAAATTTATTAAAACAAGAGACTTTATCAAGCAACCAAACGAGATAAGAGGAAATGCGGGACAAATGTTTAAAGAGTGCTATCATCTGCGCAAAGGTCTGATAATGAATAACAATGTGTGGTTGTTCCACCTCACTCTGTATCAGGCAGAGCAAATATTGCAACCTTAAAAGCAAGGTCATATGGACCCTAGAGGACAGACAGTGTAACCCTCTTTTCCTGATGTGGTTTAGCATCTGCAAACAATGAGTGTAACCTCCCTTCAATGGATCATTGGAGAGGAGTTCTCATCAAGCTATAATTGCCCTTCCTCGCTTTTCTCTGAGCTGCTCCGCCAAACAACATGGAAGAAATGCATTTTAACAAATCTATTGTAAATCAATGGGGCATCACTTGGCCAGTCAACAGTTAAAAGTCCGGTATACGCCCCCCCAAGGAATGTGATTAAATCTCAAAATCGAATGACTATGTTAACGGTTAACTGGCCACAGTAAGCGCCATCTAATCCACAGGATGTCTTTAAATTAGTGCATACAATGCCAGCTGTTTGCATGTAACCTGTCATCATTTCCAGGTTTTGCAAGCCTCAGGATGTGTATTCTCAATCAATAGCAAGGAAGAGACTGCAATTAGATGAGACAAAGATATGTAACAGCTCACCCCTGCTGCATCTCATGCACATCAGGGGTCAAAAGCAATACAATATGAGCATTGGAATCTTATTACGCACACCTTACACAATCTAGTGATATCATTACACTAAAAATCAGGCAGATCTTATTTCAAATAAACTAGTCCAACAGACAACGGTCAACACACACCAATCATTTGAGGAGAAGTTAATGCATACCAGCATTAGTTTCTTGGTTATTTATAACATGGCAAAGCAGAGGTGCTCTGTTCTGACATGGTCAGACTTTCAGGTATTTCTAATAACTGAATTCACAGTTTAACGGAACAATTGAGTGAGTTAATGAAAAAGAATATTAGCCCGCTACATGCAGCTACAGGAGAATCCCTGTCAAAGACAATATTCTTCCCTGGCACAGTGAAAGCATAGTTGAAAAACTTAGGCCACTCTCTCCACAATGTGGGGGCTTTGTCTTTCAAAACATGCCACAGGAGCTTTTCATTAGAGAATGCAGTTTCATTAACATCATCCCACACTGCCGAGCCCCGCTGCATTACAATGACACAGGAGTGCCCCTCTCTGTCAAGGAAATCTCCACAGAGCAACAGCTCACCAGGGGGGAGGGGAAGGTAGAGAAAAGAAGAGACAGGGGGTAGTGCAGAGAAGGGGGGAGGGGGCAAACAAAAGGGAACCTGATTACCCCCGGTCACGGCTCATCCACAAGCCAGCAGAGGGAAATCCATCACCTGCAGGATCAAACGGAAACTTGTGCACAAGGTAAAGCCCAGTGAAAGCTGTACCCACCCATCTAAGCACTCTCTCTCCTCTCTTGTCATTGCCACCTCCCCCCTCCACCTCTCTGACTCACACCAACGGCAGCATGTAAGTTTTAGGCGCACACTGTGAAATCCAACACAAGTGAGAATGTTTTCTGGTCTAAACGACCTAAAGGCTCTAACCTCTCTACTGGCACAATGGTGATATATTCCAGTTTTTATTGCCGTCTGTAGGCACTGCATACCATTCCAAGAGGGCTGAATCCTCCTTTTGCCAAGATTCAGCTACGAGGAGGCAGTGTTGGTCATGCCTGCTGCAGTGTCAAGGACTACTGCAAAATATCATTATTTTTCACTTTCCTGTTTGCACTAGGTTATACAGTATGTTAGAAAAAGACAGCTACTGTAGTCAGGTTTCTGACAGAAGTGTTACTGCTATAGTAAACCTTTTGAAAGATACTCAAGTTGCTGTTATTACTGCCACTGACTGGGCTTAGCCGTGTAACACTGAAACTGGGCATAGCTGATTCTAGCATGAGTGTTTCAAGTACTAGGCCAGATATTTACTGCCTGATGTGATCTTATATAAGACAAATACATAATCGTATTGGTACGTATGGTACAGGAAATTATTCAAAGCAGCACTAGGCTTGGTTAATTAATAGCTTTGTTATTTGCTTGATTTACGTTGTGTCCGTATTTAAATCTGTGTGCAACTGATTTTAATTAATTGCAACAAGAAGCATCCCCTCGGCAATCAACTATGTTTTTACACTTTTAATAGACAAAGTCAGCGATGAACATTTATCTCAACAAAATGCAAATTATGAAAACCAAAAACTGTTTAGCAACAATGTAAGATTGAGCTTTATTTTGGAACAATCTGTCTATGTTTGTTTCTGCTTTGAAAGAAAAGAGGAAAAAACAGCATGTAAGCAAAACAGGAAGGAGCTAAATAAATTTGAACCACATTTGAGCTGGTTTACAAGGCAAACTACACGACTTGCTTTGCCACACAACTACACCGAAGCTAATTGTTTAAATATGTCAGGCTTGTTCTGTTCCTCCCTCGAATGTAACACATGCAGGCGAGCACACACGCAACTGATGCACATGCCGACACACACTCAGGCAGTCAATCAAACGCAGACGCAACAAAAATCCACCACGCAGCAGCACTGGAAATATTCCACACTCACCGTTGAAAAGGGGCTGTCCTTTCTCTGTGATATCTGGCACCACAACCTTGTATACATCTTCAGAGAAGCCAGGGCTGCATGGTGTGGTGCCCCTGCCCTCCGCTGCAATCTGTGATGGTGGGGAGAGGGGGAGAAAGGGGGGGTTCAACAATGAGTCATAAATCAACCTTCAAAAATGCACTCTGTTGCCTCCAAAACCTCTTGGTCACGTTCTTAAGTCCTCGCAGTTGCACAAAAGCATCTGTTGTTTTTATAGCGGGGACTGCAATTAGGATAATGAGGCCAAAAGGGTTAAGCATTAGCCAAAAAGCATGGCTAGGCAAGAACAAGCCCCATTTGTCCCCCCGGAGGGGCCCAGGCACAGGGCTGGGTTAGAACCACTGTGGGCCACTGATCAACACACCACTCTGGACAAACACTCCACTTTGAAGTGCAGGAACAAGGGAATAAACAGTAAATGCTAACGACCCACTGTTGTGGGAATAAACACCTATGTGTGAATGTCTGAGTAAACTAGAAATGCTGACATCTTAAGAAAATGCGAGGCCATGACTGCTATCCATATAAAGGGAGAACTGCTTCAAGTGTCAACCCAAAAGATTTACAGAATAAAGGGGATGTTGTAGAGAGAGAGAGAAAAGATGATCTGTAAATGACTGGGGCTGGTGTTTCCTCAAAGCATGAATCTAGCCAGAGAGAGAGAGAGAGAAAACCATCATCGTGAGAAATCACAGATGGAGCATAACTGAGGCATAACTCTGATGTCCACGAATATCCAAATATACTCCATCACACAGCCTCAGCATTGATTCGGCTCTGAGGAACAGACGCCACCGGCCCCGGCTCCTCTACATGCACTGCTCTCCGAAGAATGCAAAAGGAGAGGAGAGGAGTCCCTGCTGAAAAAAGAGCATTGTGGGTAGCCGTGCCACTTGCCATTCTTAATCATGGAAATTTAAATGGAAAATGCTGTGAGGGGAAGAGAAGAAGAAGAAGAAGGGCTTATGAGGAGGGGGGAAGCTGGGGTTCTTGCACGTTACAACAATAGCAACCAGGATGTACAGTAGAATTATATCTAGTTGTTTTTTTTTTGCATTTAAAACAAAAAGGTTTTCAACAAACACCAGAAAACAGGATTATCTGCTTCTCTCTGCAGCTGGGGGGGGGGGGGACTCAGTTTGGACAAAGTGGCTCCATAGTCATGAAAAATAAATTGTTCCCAGCACATTGCACCCTCACGTCGTCAGAGTTGGACAACAATCATCATCCCATCGCAGCTAGCTTGAATTTACTTATATAACCCGCGCCACCATAATAATTCACAGCATGTTGTACTTTTCATTGTTGCTCATACATGACGTGATTTCACCAGGAGAGGGGATTAATCAGGGGGCGCAGGGACACGCTGCAGCAATCTACATAAATATGAAACTAAACACATCCTGCTCACAGCGCGGGCCCCACTTCAATAGCTACAGCAAATTCGCTAAATTCAAATAATTCGCGTAAAGATTGTGCGTCGTTTTTCTTTTTGTTGTTTTGTGTTTTTACCAGCGCAGCATCTCGTGGGCGTTGGGTTTAAAAACATGGGGACCGTTAGCTAGTCGCGCAGGACCTACTTTCTGATCTGAGCGGTCGTCCAACGCACAAAGCGGCGTCTTATTAACGAGCCGCACGCCGTGCAAAGTGCCTGTCTGGCAGGCTGCGGCCGCTCCACCGGGCTCGCACCTCAAACACACGCGGGGGAAATAAAACACCCAGCACCGGGGAACTGTCCGGTGTAACTCCGCCGTACGAAGCACCGCTCGGATGGTAGCGTTACCTGCAGTCCGGCTAAGACCGCCAGCACAAGCAGCCCGCTGCCCTCGTGTCGTGGGTACATCGGTGCGGCCGTCTCTGCTAATTCCCCACTCCGAAATCCGTGTGCCTTCTCGAAAAAGGAAAAAATGATGGAAAAGGGAAGAATATCCTCGCGGCTCGGGAAGCGTCCCCTGTGCGACAAAGGCGGCGGCAGCAGCAGCGGTGACGGTGGTGACGGTGGTGGTGGTGGCAGCCTCCTCCTCGGTGAGTCTATCCAGCTCCAGTCAGCAGCAGTGAGGGAGAGCAGAGCTGTGCCTGGTACTGAGGCTGCTGCTCCCTCCCATCCAGTCCCACACAAAAACAACCGGAGCCCCGGACTACAGACTATAAACCGCCCGTCTCACTGTCTCTCCCTACCGGCCACACGGACAACTTCACCACCGGCGTGTTCCCCCGTGTTAACAGCATCCCACATACAGCATCATGTTATTCACACACGGTCCTTATGTTCACCAAGTATGTTATACACATACTTATATCTATATATGCGTGTGTGTATGTATTACTGTGTTTATATATAAACACAAATATATATGTGTGTGTGTGTACACATGGTGGTATTCCATCTAGGAAGTTATGTGTATGAACTTTAATGTATTGAATGAATTTTATAATATATGGAATTGCATCTTGAATTATATATAAGATGAAATCTGAATATATGGATTGAATTCATGAATCTATGGAATTAATAAATAGAGTGAATCTTTAAAGATATAAATGGACAGTCAGAATATATGGAAGTAAATGTGAATATACAGATACAGTACATGTCTGATTATATGGAATTAAATACTCAAACTTCCATTTCATACAGTACAATATTAATTATATATATCAAGGTTTATTCCAAATGTCCAAACTTTCAATCTATTCAGATTAAAACTTGCATTCTATATATATTTAAATATTCATTATATATAAAACATCTGTATATATAGATTCGATTTTGGATATTTGGAGTGAAAGTTTGAATATTTATAATGAAATCTGAATACATGGATTGAACCCTATCAAGTTAGAGACCGAACTAACAGACTCAAACCCGACAGGCATTCAGTTTTTTTGCTTCACCTGACCTGAACCCAATAGAGTTATTGTGTATACATATATTATCTTTGATTTGTTCTTTTAACTTTATTGATTCAATTATTTTCTCGTCACTCTTAAACATAGTAATATGCAAAACTCCTGATCAAAACTGTATAATAACCGTACAATCCAATAACAACATGACTCCCATTTAAACTGTAACTATCTTTCCACTCAAACTGAAAAGGGCGTTACTTCCTCGCTGTGGAGGAACATGTCTTATCAGCTCTGGTTACAACAATGCCCTACAGTAGTTTTCTACATCCTAAGGTCAGTTTGTTTGAGGTCATCGTTTATTTGCTCACTGTCTGGTTTCACTTACTCATGCACATTATATTTAAATGAGACTGACAGAAACACAAAGACAAATGATCAAAACAGACATTCCTCTTGGCTATGTGATTATCTTACAATACATGAATCTTGTCATAATTTTCCATGTAGTTTATTTACAACTGCTGGAGAATGTTAGTATTTTAGTGTCATATTTTGAAGTTCAACTGGAAGTTGTGTTGTATCTACATCTCTGATCTTTTGTTTTTTCCCACATTTTAATTCTCGGATTATTGGCACCAGACTCCACTGAGAAAACTGCTTATCAAATGTTCCGGGTGTCAAGTAATTGGAGATTCAGCCAGTTGTCTCTCGACTTGTGTGAAGAGCTCAGACTCTATTGATCATTGGCTGGGAGATTCTGATCACTTTGCCCTCAGATAATTGCTGTTTACCGCCTGTTTGATCCTAAGGATTATTAATTGTCAATGTTTCGGTGCTAAACCTGCATGTGTGAGTGTTTCACCCTTACAGTCATTATCGTTACTTCATAAGCTCACTGTTTCAGAAAAGGCTGGATCACTATGGAGTTTTAAATTCTGTATTCCATTCATTCATCTTCACTTAAGCCCAGAGTTTGTAAGTAAAGCTTTTTTCGTGTCCCGTTAAAATATGCAATGAATAATTCCCTTACATTATCTTCTCATGTGATACAGGCTGATGAAGGTTAAATTACCTCGGTTGGGCTGCTGACACCTAATTAACTATCAAGGGATGGCTCTATGGAATAGATTGTAACGGTGATACAGAGATATTTCAGTCTGGCAGATGAAAATAAAAAAACATATTCCATCTCCAAATAATAAACAGGGGCTGACTTTTGGTTCACCTCCTCTGGGCAATCCGTTGTTTTTCAAGTTATTGGCGTTTTGAGGTGCAGGCAAGTATGTGATGGGAGCAATGCTGCTCCCCTCCTACTACAAATCAAACCATCCGCCCCTGAGAGTGTGTTGTAATCCTAAACAAACAGTAAGCACTATCACATCCCACTTACAGTCTACACACACATACGCACAGGACATGAGGGCTGAATAGCGCTCGCTTCTCGCAAAAAGTGACTCATGTCACTTCACACTCTTGTCATTGATTAGCACGCCTGATCATCCATGTTTTAAAATAATTAGACTTTCTCTCTGAGGGAAATGAAAGCAAACAAAAGAGGAAAAAAGGAAGTGCAACAAAGTTAAGATAAGCCCATTAACGAAATCTCTGGTGATCATGGTTACCCATCCACAGCCAGTTACAAAGAAACGTGGCAAAATCATGTTTTTAACCAGAGGCAGTCAGATTCAATGTGCGTTTCTTTTGTTTGCTGTGGCAGAATATCGCATGGGATCAAACTGAATGACCTGCTGATAATTGATACCACATTTTGTGCAAATTATTAAATATATGTAATCTAATCTAAATGAGAGTGGGATCAAAATTCTCCATCTCTTTGATTAATGCAGAGGCGGTTATCTTTCATCAGTACTCGTCCAGGCAGGGGAGAGGAGGAGCCGTCAGAGGGAATCCAATTTGGACTTAGTGCATTCAATCAAACAATATCATGTTGCATGATTCATAAGACCAATCTGATACACCCGAGAACTCCGTGTGCAGCATATACCTGAATTTGGCATGGTCTAAAATGTGGAATCAGAGGAGGGATTTGCCATCAAGGGCGCCCTGCTGTCTGTGGTTAATGTATTCTCAGGGCTGCACTGTCTGTGTAGACAGATAACGTTGTTTTGCAGGCGAGTGTGTGAGGCTGCTGTATGATGCATGTCGGTTTCGCTGCTGACACTGCAGTTGACTCACATAAGTGCAGGTGTCCGAGGGCTCTTGGCCTGGACGAGCCCTCGATTCCACACCTTTAACTCGGCACAATTGGATGCGGTGTGGAGCATTGCAGCGCGGTGGCCTTGATGGCACTGGAAGAAAAATGGACGAGGTCAGCAGCACTTTCACATCCGCGGCACTTCTTCATGCTGACTTTGTGTTGATACAGGAATATCATACAGTTCAGCCTCTGCTCCCATGTACTGTAATGCAAAGCTCAGTCATTTCTGCACAAAGGGCGATATTCAGTGACTCACATTCACACAGCCTCTTCCTGTTGAATCTTTATTCACTGCCAATATGTAAATTGATAGAGATGGTATTTTTTGAAACGACACAGAGCCTTAACATTCAATTATCAAGGGAGATCATTTTCTCTTCTGGTATAAACACACATATGTTGACCATTCTCAACAGTTGGCTAATTAGCCTGTCATTGCCAATCCCTCTCATGTCAAAGGTTGCTTTGGAACAAATTAGTCAGTGGAAAGGAGCAACCTAGTCCTCAAAGCCATTATCAATTCCAATCAAGCTTCATTGTGATGCATTCAATAAAGGATCTCAAAGGACCACAGTAGTGCTCTGATTATTCTCTACTCATGCCAAATCGGCTCATTCAGTCTTTTATATCATGTGAACAATGGAGCCAAATAGAGTTGTGCATGTATTAAGGTGCACACATACGTTTGATGTGCATCTCTATGCTTGAAGTTGTTGGAGGCCTGGAGGTCACAGAATACCATATTCCATAAATATATTGACCGGCATGTTGAAGACATAAAATATTGAAAATGTGTAACCTTAAAGGGGATCTGATTATATTGTATTGTATGCAGAGAGACAAACAATAATGAAAACATGCAAGGACGCTTCCACTGAGCGCTTTCTCTGTAATTTCTTGTGAAAAGACATGTCAGTGGAGCAGATTGGTGCCACCCCCTTGTCAACAAATAATGGCAAAATGCTCTTTGCAAGCTCTGGCTGCAGCTCTGGCAATGTCTGCTGTGTGGCAGGGCTCACACAACTGTGTGTCTGCACCAATTTAGGGTTTGGAGTTGGGGCCACATCTGCCTGCTGTGTGCTGGTGTGGCACACTAACAGTGATTGATTGCCTGATTAAGGCAAATTGTGTTGAACTCCAGAACAAGCCAAGGAGAGAAGAAAGCATCTTTAGTTCATGATGCAATAAAAGTGTGGCTATTGATTTGTGATGGCACATGTGTGCAAGAAGGCAGTTGTGTTAATTATTTATTGATCACCTGGCACCCTGTAAAAAAACAAACCACATTCAAAAGGTGTTCATAGGTTCAAAACTTTATAAATAAGAATTCAAAAATCACTGATTTTGTTCTGAACAAAGCAGCTTATTGGGGCTTATTTGATTGGATCAAGTATAGCTACCGTTTCACAGGACTAAGTGTAGGTCATGACTCTGTGAGGCTGTTCTGAGCGGTGCTTTAAGCTAAATGCTAAATGTTAATATGCTAACATGTCATAAAGCCTGCCTTCTCCATGTAATTGGATGGGACATGGACCAAACTACAAAGCCAGGGTGAAACATCATGATTGACAAACGAGACTCGTGTTTGGTTCGGCATGTTTATCAGCAGGACATCCATAGCACAGCTCCACCCCCTGATCGCTAATGCACAGGCCCTGGCTCCAAGAGGAGTTTTCAGAGCACAATGGAAGTGTTCATATCTGGGATATTTTGGCTTAATTTCTGAATAGTAGGAAGAAGTGTACATTGTCCATCTTTGTATGTAGTCAATTGTTCAAATGTACAATTACACAATTGAAGTATAGCTTGTTCGCATGCTAACATTTGGTAATTACTATAAAACATAAAGTTGGTTAATAAAATGTCATGAGGTTTGCACATATTTGATCATAAACCCAAAATACATGAGACAAATAAAAGGTCTGACCTAATGTTGGCCCTACATAGAAGGTCAGGGACTATCAACTGATTACACTTTATTTTGAGGGAGACATGAATGTCTACAGAAAATTTTCTGACAATACATCTGGTAGCTGTTGAAATATTTCTGTCTGCA